GTGCGTCCGTGTGTGCGTGCGTGCGTCCGTGTGTGCGTGCGTGCGTCCGTGTGTGCGTGCGTACGAACGCTCCTCGGTGTACATATCGCGCGGAGAGACTGTTACCGCGCGCCTCTCGCTCCGGCAGCTTCCTATATATGAAACTGTAATCAATTCCTCGATAGTCACTACTGGAAAGAGAGACCCGTGTTCTTACACCGATACCACGCATCCTGTCTCGTTTGTTGCGCACAGACCACCGCTGATATTATTATTATTATTATTTACGAGTGAATGCCTTCAGAACAAAAGCATGCACGCTGTACATCATTGTCTACAGCGTTATAAGGTGTTATATGTATATATATATATATATATATATATATATATATAATAATAATATTATATATATATGATTCCGTATCGTGGTCGGCAGTTTCGTGAAACTCATATAATGGTAAAATGTGAGAATGTGCGTGAGGCAAGCACGTCATTAATCACAGCGGTTAATCACAGCGGTTCATATCGCGTGCGCACTCGCCTGTGTACGTCAAGTCGTGCGTTTCACACTCAGGGGCCATGATGATCGCTTACGTCACGCACAACATCCGAGTTCTCGTCGTCTAATGGCCATATTTGGCGCGAAGTGTTGCCGCGGCTATTAATGCACGAAGTCTATATATTGTTAAAATAATTTGTATTATATTCAGTCGTTTATTGTTTTGCTATTTAACAACGCGTCATGCGTGGAAAATGTTACCGTTTTTTGTTTATATTGATCGCCAGCTGTTTTTCGTATGGAATTTCCCCCGCGGCAGCAGCTACTGCAGTTATCCTCGTGTTTTGTTGCTCGTGCGTTTCATACATGACATTGACACCTTGTGTGCTGGCAACATTGACTACAGCAAAGGTGGGCGTCGAGATACTCGTGCCCGTACCGGTGACATTGCAGAGCGAAGTTCACTTCGCATTTTAACGGCCACGATTTAACGATGTGACCGTCCAAGGCATATCAGTATATATCATTTTAAATGAGAATTCGCATCTCTAGTTGATTAAACTTTTGTGTAATTGAATTTTTTAAATGAAATTATTTCAAATTTCATTCCGAATATATGTGTTTGCCGCCGATCCATTACACAAGTATAATTACTTTTATATGAGTCGCAAAATATGTAATGTCGTTGTAAATATGTAACATTATATTTATATTGTCGTTACACATTCCCAGACCTTACTAATAGTAGAATGGCTTATAGCTGCCTGATTTGAATTTAACGTAAGCGTAAATATTTAAGCGGTACAAGAGCAAATGGATGCTTTGGCATTTGACTAGTCAATCAAGGATCGTGACTGAGCGACCTCGTTCTCTTTGCTCACGGCCTTAGCTTTTGCGCCATTTGCTTTGCTTTATTTCGGTCTGTAATATAGACCCATATCATCTTAATTACTGACTTTCTACGCATGTGGGGACTTAGCGTGTCTATGAATAGACAGTGTGTGTGTTTTGAATTTGAAACGTCTATTAAATAAATATTTCTGCATCGTTTCAATAGCGATTTTCTTGATACGTTTCGACACTGAGCCGTATGTGTAATAATGCTACACCCACATTGCTTTCAGCCGCCGAAATAAATAGAATTTTCCCTCCCGCGAGGTGTCGCTAATATGCAAGCACTTTTCTCGTAGCCCGATTACAACATTCTCAAGCTTAGAGCAGGCGCTTGAAATTTTTCGTCCATGGATGTGCACGTACATATATTACTCTGTCTAGCGAGCTCTGCATCTTTTTAGCGATTTAATGTGTGGTTAGCTTCGTGGCAAGAGGTTGAGAAAGAAATTTAAAAATCATCAGCTGAACATTCGTGACCTTCATAAGTGATTCGTGTTTTTTTACCATCTATTCTCAATTCGCGAGCTCCTAATAACATGACCCACGCACTCATTATGCCTTATCCATCTCCAATGGCCTTCAGTGCAGTCTTCTTTTCTTACGTCGTGTTTTTTCTTTTACATTTTTTACTTCTTTGATATTTTACTCGTTTAACTTTTCGTGCACGACTTGTTTTTTCGTAATCCTCCGCGGCATTTAATTCTGCATCTGCAATTTTTGCGTTTCATCCTCCTCTGCCCCTGACCAGTGCCATGTCCATGGCCACGCGCTTCCCGTGATAGCAATCAAATGAGTCTAAAGTCGCTTCCATCGATCAATCAGCCGGGCTTAGCTGCCCACCACGCAGACGATCAAAAAACTCATTCGTAACACACGTGCCCTGCTCACTAAACTTCTCGTTTCGGTCGGTTTTTTATTTATTTCCTTTGCAATTACAAACTTTTTTCGTAAGGCATCTTTAATCGCATTCGTCCCAAAATGACGGCGTGCGCTCGTTCGCGACTGATCGTATTTAACTTCGATGTAATTTCCTAGCAATTAACTTGATGTTGACGAGAGGTAGCAGCTGGCCGTGCGAACGTTCGAAACTTCAAATTTCTACATTCAAATTGATAAATAAATTATTAGTAACTTTACGTTAATAATGAACGTTGAACGATCGCAGTATTAACGTAAATTAAACACGCAGGATTTAACGCAGGTTATTAACGCAGGATTAAAGTAAAAACGATCGCAGCAACGTAAGGGTAAATATTCAACGATGCCAACACGAATACGTAAAGGGAAGAGAGGATTGTCGGTCGGTGAGGGTGAAGACGCAACATGTTCTGCTAGCATCTATGACAAATATGGCATACGCTCTGCTATGACACTATTTGTCATAGGAAGATTCTTCCTATGACAAATATTGGCGAGTCAACTTCGTTCCGCTTTACAGCTGAAATTCACTGCTTGCGTTCATAATAGCGCTCGTAAACTCCTATGATGCGCACAACACATAGAATAATATTTGTCATAGGAAGAATCTTCCTATGACAAATAGTGTCACAGGAGAGCGTATAATTATGCGTATGTCGTATTTATCATAGATGCTATAGCAGAACAGGCTGGAAGACGCGGGGTGGGACTCGTAAACGTAATCAGAATTTAATACCATCCTTTATGTCACGCGCAGCTATGCATAGCACGCACTAGTATGGTGAATCATACCACTTCAAATTTAATTAACTTTAAGAAATTAACAAGATTAAATTAACTTTAAACAGTGGCTGGTTGAGCCTCCTACTGTGTTCGTAACGCGATTTCAAAGGCGTGCGACTCACTAGGTTTAATTGCGTGAAGCTTGGAGTTTATTCGGGTAATTAACAGGATCACGCTAGATTTCCGGGCACTTCGTTATCTTCATTAATTATAACAGCCACAAATTATTAGAAACAACAACCACAACGAACAAATTCATGGTAATAATATTGTTATTAATAATAATGAGAATAAACACAAGATTAAGAAGAATGGCGAGCAAATCATCAGTAGCATTATCAACGACAGTAACACAAACAAGGGAATAGCATTAGTATTAACAACAATAACGTCAATAATGGCAATAACAATAACAACAACAACAACTGCAGCAGCAGAGCGACGACGACGACAGCAACAACAAATACATCAACAAAAACAACAACCACAGTGGCGACAACATCAATAACAACAACATCAATCTTCTTAACACCAACAACCAAGGTGACCCTCGCAAGATACATACATACACACACACACACACATTATAATAATATATATATATATATGTATATATACATATATTCAAAAAACTTAGGTAACAAAAGTAGCGATTCTGTTCTCATTCGCATTAGAAGCTGCAGCCCATGAAACATGCGATTATAATTGAAATTAACTAGTTGAAGAGAATTAAATTAAATTGAAATTCCGACTGTGCACAGAATCATCACGATAACTCATTATTACGGATTCCTACGTCACGACGCGTATCATATACTAACGTAGTGTCGAATTAAACATTAACGTTTACATAATGGCTTAAATACGAAAACAACGTAAATGTGCGTCCACTTAGTGAGTAAAGCGAGAGGGGGAGAGAGTGAACGAGAAAGGGAGAGCGAGAGAGGGTGTGCGCGAGCGAGAGGGATGAGAGAAAGGACGAAATAAAAAGAGAGGAAAAGAAAGCGCGAGAAAGGAGAAAGAGAGAGTAAGCGAAAGAGAGAGAGAGAGAGAGAGAGAGAGAGAGAGAGAGAGAGAGAGAGAGAGGAAAGGAGAGAAAGAAAGGAGGAAAGAAAGAGAAAGAGAGAGAAGAAAAGAAAGAAAGAAAGAGAGAGAGAGAGATCTGTCAGCTACATTCACTACACGGCAACATCGCCTCACTGCCCGCCGTACGGGTTGTAAGCACGTCTCGCCAGTAACCCCGGCGACCTTGACCCCGCCGACGATGATGATGACCTTGACGCCGCAGCCGCCGACGACCTTGGAGGCACGGGCACGGATATGGCACGGCCGGCGACGGTACCGTCTCCCAGCCGGACGCGAGCCGACGAGTCGATACGTCCGCCGGTTCTCTGTCGTCTGCCGACCGGCTCCGAGATCTTATAGGCGAGGTCCAGCCTGGCCTCGCTGCTCGCCTTGATTCTCCCCGTCTCCACGGGCCGACCGCCGCGCTCACGGCTCCGTTCGTTACGATTCCCGCCGACAGGTGGCAGCATCGTGTGACTGGGAGACCTCGACGCGCTGCGGTTTCTGGCGGCGGCTCGTGATTGGTCGCTGAGGCGCGCTTCTCTCGGAAAGGCGACGTATGCCGTCGGATGACGACGGCTGGCTCTGTCTCGTTCCTGATTTCTGCGATAGGTGGCGCTGTCGCCGCCGTAGTCCGGGTAGGTGGTGCGAGGCGCGTGCGTGAGTGTGCGTGAGCGGGTGTGACTGCGATCGTGGGAAGGTAGACTTGGCAGCTGAATGCTAGGCTTCAAATCTTCATACGGGTCATAGCTACTAGGCGTATGTTCATCATAAGTATTATAGCTACTGGGTTTTTGTTCATGGGGATCATATCTACTAGGTTTTTGTTCATAAGGATCATAGCTACTGGGTTTTTGTTCAT